CTCACTTCAATTAAGTTCCAGTATGCTATACAAGAAAAACAATGGATATTTCATGCTAAGCTTAGTAAAGTATAGTTAATCATAGTTAGCATATTAGGATGACACAGAATCTGATTCATGAGAACAAGCAAGTGGAGACTACCAGGAAAGGCGACACCATAGTATGAGTAGGACAGCAGATAACATAGTCCGATCAATCTCACTTCTCAATTTGCATCACAAGCATCACTTCGTACCATCCTCAACCAAGTGACTCTAAGCTACCTCTGTCAAGTGACACACGCAACCCTACCTCGGTCAAGTGACACCCTCAACCCTACCTCGGTCCAGTGACATGTCATTTGTGACAGCAATAGATACATTTTGGCAACCTTTGATGGTTCGGTATCAGTAGGGTGTGTGGTGTTTAAGGACTTGTGGTAGCTGGATGGACTCAGGATCAAAATACCTTGGAGCTGTGACTGTTCCCATGATCGGCTCGTGATTGGCAGCTCACTCGTGACGGACCCCACACGCGAACGGCGTACGTGTACTTCAAACCAGTCGAAATGCTCAACATATTGCTCAAAGAGAGCCTCGTCCTTTTGAGATTTGCTTGGAAACCTCACAATAGATGAGTGTGTGAAGCAGATGCATGACGAGTGGTTGATCCCTTGCTAACGGCAAGTTGCCAATGCCCGAGGCGGTCTCGCTGAGACCTCAGCATCCCAGCGTCACGGTGGATGTCCACTCCTCAATTTCCGTCAAAGGGCTATGGTGCAAAGTCACATGACCGACCGCGTCTCCGTCGAGAGCCTCCCGAAGCCAAGAACCAACGACGCTCTGTCCTACCCAAGTTATGCTGAGCTTAAGTCTCCAGTGGACCCAGCTCTGCTGGAAAATGGTAGCCTTCGCCCGGCCAATGGCTCCGTATCCGCTTACAGTTGGGAGAATCTGGGCATGATCACGCACATTGCAGCGGTTGGAATCGTCTACGGCACGGTGAGTGGGGTCATCTATTCCGTGCTCAACAACTACCTGCACATGTCAACGACGTTAGTTGCCACTGCAACTGCATTGGTGACGTTCCCGTGTGCGCTTCGCCTCTTTACAGGAATGCTGACGGACACTTGTCCAATCTTCGGTTACCGTCGACGACCATACATGATCATCGGCTGGTCACTGTCGTTCATCTCGTGTCTTCTGATGGCTGCACTACCTTTAGGAGAACCTTATTACTCCGATGCTTCACTGTCCGATATCGCCACAGTCGACATGACGCCGGAGCAGCTAGCGACTCTCAACACCGACGCCCCAAATCGCGGTATCAAGCTGATCATCCTCATGATGATCGCAAACTTCGGTACAGTCATGGCCTATAGTGGATTCAACGGCGCTCTGATGGACGTCTCTCAGCGTGAACCGGAGGCCACTCGTGGTAGTGTCATAGCTGATGTCAATATCGTTCACTACGTATTCACGATCTTCTCATCCTTCATGACTGGCATCGGACTAAACAGTGAAGATTACGGTGGCACATTTTCGTGGACCATGGGATTCAACGCGATCATGTGGATCTGTGCTGCTGCTTCACTCCTCACGATTCCGTTCTCTTGGTACTGTATCCAAGAAGTGAAAGGAGAGCGCGCTCAGATGTCCGGATTCAAGTTCTTATACAATATATTCCAGGAGCGAGTGATCTACCGCTACGCTGCATACCGATTCTTCTACAACGTTTGCTCACAGATCACGGTCACGGCGTCAAGTGTGATCCAAAGTGACTGGGCAAACGTAGAGCCACTTAACTCGGGTATCGCTAGCATGCTCACAGCGATTTTGACTATGAGTGGAGTGTACGTGATCAAGAAGCAGGGTCTTCAGTGGAATTGGCGCTACATCATTATGGTCTGTCAGATCTGCGTAGTGATCATTGATGCCTTCCCCACTCTGTTTACGATTTGGGACGTATACCGTAGCCAATGGTTCTGGCTTGGAGTTCCACTTGTGGGTGAAGTGCCAGCCGCTGCAGGCGACTATGTGACGCAGCTCTTTATGATCGAGATTGAGAACCAAAAAGGGTTCGAAGCAACGCTGCTCGGACTCGGAGTCACTACTCAATCCGTTGGTACTCCCTTCGCTACTGTGATCACGAAATCCATCGACGGCTACTTTGATATTGGCCGAACTTTTATTGAACAGGACAACCACCATGTTCGATCGCAGGTCACGTACACGTACCTCATTGCCTATGCGTTCAACTTGCTGTCGGTGGTCTTCGTGTTTTGGCTGCCGAAGCAGAAGGAAGAAGTTCACAGGATGCAGCGCGAGAACCGCAAGAGCAAGTTCTGGGGCATTCTGACTATCAGCTACCTCCTTTTCTCTTTGACGTGGACGCTGATGACTAATATCCTGAGTCTGTTCGAGTCGACGAGCTGCTTGCGCATTGCTGGAGGCAGCGGCTGCTAACCCCTCCATTACAAATATCAACTCGAAGATACCTAAGTATTCATTAGAAACTCCAGCAGTGATTTTGTCTGCTTCGAGGTATTTGTTGTTGTTGATGATGGAAAGATCTGTCGAGTGGCTTTTATCCCTAAGCTGCTTTACGTATTTGTCAGATATATGGGGAGCTCTCGCTGAGAGTCTAGGCGGGGGACTCCCAGAGGTAAATCAGCTTCCGCAGCTGAGGATCTCTTCACTGCCTACACTTTTCCATGATGAGCACTACGTCTCTACGCATAAACTATATGACAAAGATCGTGCATACGCCAAGCTGACGCCACGAAGACTGGAGGCTATGTGGCTTTATGATGAAGCCACAGAGCCTCCAGTATTTTTGCCAAGCAGTTCGAGGCTATCTCGATTCTATGAAGGGCCATCCTTGACCCTGGACTCGTCCTCCCCCTGTCTGCAGCAGCTTCCCGACATTGAAGCATGACGTGCATTCATCGGGATTTACGATGAGTCTTGTAGCATTCCTGCTCGGAGATCGATGGCTGACCCCACGGCACATCCTTACGTTGCATCCTGGGCAGCCCTGGTAAACAAGCCATGGATCGCGATCTTTTCCACATGCAAATCATTGTGGACAATAATTAGATCGAGCATATCGATGCAGAACTTCTAGTTTCGAACTCATTTGCCATGTTTTTAGGTTACAGATACATACTGCTAGGCATCAATGACGTCTCCTAAATGGAAGTTAGACACGTATAGTCTCCTGGGGGTGACAGCAGTGACGGGAACAGATAATGCGACGTCTGTCGCTTGAGCGCACTCGCAGTCACATCCACGGTGTTCCCAGCGAAAACCAGTTCATCGTTACGAGGAGCCGTCTCAAGCGATGGCAGGAAGTTGTCAATCCACTCGAGCGAGTCCACCTCCTGTTCACTTAGAGTAGGCGGAATAAAGTTATTGCTCGACTGGTTGTACCTTTGGGGTTCCACGTCGTTCTCCAAGAGCATCATGTCCATGTCGGTTGGCGACGGGAACGGGCACCCGCTGCCGTACGGACTACCGAGAAGCACAGCACTGGGCACTCGCGGAACGCGGATGGCAATGTCTCGCTTCCACGAGCCTTTGCTCCGTAATAGCTGGAAATGCTGCGGTTCGAGCTTAACGGGCTCCATCCGGACGTTGGGCTTAGGATCTGTAGCCACAGGGGCCGGTCGGGACTTGCGCGGCGTGGAGCCGCCCGTGTGCACCGATTTCTTACGCGTGATGCGCCACGAGAGGTCAGGGCGGTCGCGCAAGAAACATTCGTTGGAGAATGTGCAGACGACGGCCTTGGACTTTGTCCACTTCTTGAAGCTAAAGTAGTTGAGCTGACGCTGGAAGCTCGTATACTTGCGGTGCTTGAAGTACTTAGGCAGCACCTCGGCCATCATACGGTCCATGTCGAGGATTTCGAAGGCGCGGCCATTGGGCGTCCAGCGCAGAATCTCGTCGCTCTCATTTTCGAGCATGCGGCGTAGGCTGCGAAGGAAGGGCGCGACCTCTCGAGGTTTTATGGACGGTGTGTCCATAGAGACGGGCGGCAGCTTGTCCAGGTTCAAGCCCTCGACACGCATTGTAAGAGGACGTATAGCGAGCTGGCTTGAACAAAACCGAGAAGATTGCAGAATGACAATAGCGAGAGGCTAAAGAGACCGAGCAGCAACAGACAGGACTCTCGGTGCGGCTGCCAGCCACTTCAACGAGAGGATGCGCACATAGAGATCGCGGCACCAGCCGGAGCCCAAGCTTAAAATATGGGGGCGCGAACGTAGCTACCGACGCGACCGCGTTCGCTCCGAGTCATCTACCCGCGCCACTTAGCACGTAGTGATGATTGTGACAGCGACTGCGATCCATAACCCACCCACCATAACGATAAAAACCCCTTGCCAAGGATGGCTAGCTCAAGAACTGGGTGCAATCCGGCTCAAGAAAAGCATTGGCCTCAATTCTGCTCCAAGTGGTACGGCGAGTATCATGGGAGACCGCAGTCGCCAGCTCTATCCAAGCTGCTGGCATCATTTGCAGATTTGCACTGGTAGATCTTAGTCCGACAGCGAGCGGGCATTGCTGCAGGAGCTTTACTTGCCAGCCTTGACCCAATATCGTTGAAGCTTGACAGCCGGCTCCACGGCCAAGGTGCTGAACGAGTGGAGGGTGGCGCGCCATAGGGCCGAGCTAGCGGCTTGGCACTGGTTTCACAGCATCCCTCGCACGACAGCGTTGGGTCAGTTGCAATAGCTGATGCTGATTCCCGGCCCCGGGGCGTTTGATTCAACGGTTGAAGTGCTCGTGTCAGTTCCCACGATAAAAAAAGCCGCTTCTCGCTCGCTTCAGAGATTCTTCACTGCGCATATCCGCGGTGCGAGAGCTTTGGCCTGAGTCAGGGCGGACAGCAGTCACGACAAACAGAACGACAACCTCAGGAATTGCGTGCCAAGCATTTTTTTTACTGGCATCACTTTATCCACACAACTGGTATGATACGCAACGACTCCTACTTCGGAGTTCCTCCTTGGAGAGCTCTTCACGCTATCTCTTCTTTAGCGGGTCAAAATGTTGGTTTGTGAGAGGGGGCAAATCAGGAATTTGGTAACGAACCATTTGAGGCTATGCGTGCGCTTCAGGCTAGGATACATGTATCAGTGCTGCTCACAATCTGCTTCACGAACCTTTTGTTAACGTGAAACATCCTGCTACGGAAGTGATACACACGGTTTCCAACTCAAGTCGACCGAAACTAAGCAACCTTAAAATCGGTTCTATCGTCTCGCACAGTAGCACAAGAAGTTCGTCATCTTCGGGTCCATGGAGCCTTCGTCGTGGAGGCCTCTCTTATAGTGGATCATCACCAGACTAGCTTGGCGGGCGTTTCCACTAGCCCCAGATGATCTGAGGCTAGACAGGTCGGCATTTTGACAGTCTGCCCCCACCGCACTTGTGATGCATGTTATGCGATGCCGCTCCAGCGTTTACTTGTCGCCCGGTGCAAATCCGACGTAAACTAGCGAGGTTCGAAGTCCAAGCAAAAAAAACAAAACACGAAGTATTACAGAACTTGGTATTTGAGCCTTTTTTATTGTGTTAAAGTTTTTGGAGGGAGAGCTTGCTTCGCTTCGAGTGCCCGCGGTGACCGCAACGAGGCAGGAATTCAATATAAAATGACGGCTGGTTACCTGGTAGCGACAATCACGTCACCGAAGCGGCATAGGACGACTCGCGTCAGCTTAGACGTGAGTTCACGTGTTGATTCAGTTGTTTGACTCACTCTGACGCATTGAAGAACAGGCTCCAGCTACCTACTGGCAGACTGGCATTTGGGTAAGATTGCTATTGGAAAAATAATACTTCGTATGTATCTACACGTACATTTCAAACGCTAGGATACGTTGCCAGTGAATGACAGCCTGGAGAGCTAGCTGGATGAAATCACGACTTTTTTCAAAGCCTTCACTAAAAATACAGCAGTACCTTCATACAGTACGTGTACCCTTTGTTTACAAGCACCGAGCTTTAGCACTACGATAAATGTCCACTCATAATGTAAATGACACTTTTTCTGATGGGCCACTATCTCACAGCCGCCCCGCTAGGTTAGTCCAGCTCAACCAGCACATGGCCGTCCGTCACAAAATCATCCTTCTCGCAGAACAGTTCCTGCACTTTTCCATCTTTTGGTGCACGGATCATGTGCTCCATCTTCATTGCCTCCATAATCAGGAGTGGTTGATCGGCCGTGATCGTGTCACCATTCTTCACCAGCACCTTAATGATCTTGCCCGGCATTGGCGCAGCAATCTTACTGTGTGCGGCTGCACCTGCGCTGCCCTCAACTGGCTCAAAGGACGGCAATGGGACGTGGAACTTGTAGTCGTAGCGCTGGCTGTTGTCGTCGCAGAAGAGATGAAGCTCCTGTTGGTGAATCACAGCAGTCCCCTTGAACGTGCGGTTGCCCACGCGAAACTTGAAGTCTCCCCTTTTATCGATCGCTCCGCTGACTTCGTGAGTCTCCTGACCAGCGTCACCGTCTAGAATCACCGCGTACGTGTCCTTCGCCAGACACTTAACGGATACTGACGCCTCGTCATCGTCATGGCTTAGCGAAAGCTTCCTCTCTAGCGTTTCCAGAGAACGGAAGTGAGCCAAGGAATCATCTGACCATGGCGACTGTAATTCACCGTTATAATTCCCAGCAGGTCGACGTTTAACCTGCTCCAGAAGGAGCAAACTCACAGCTCCTAGTGCTTTAGCGTACGTTGGGTAGGTTCCCAGTGATCCAAGCACTTCGTCACCGAACTTATTGAGAAAACTCGTATCAACGCCACCCTTACGGAACGCCGCGTGATCCGCTGTGCGAGCAACGAACTCGATGTTCGTAGGAAGACCCACAATCTGGTACTCATGAAGTGCTTTGATCATTTTATCCAGGGCAGCTTGGCGGTTGTCACCGTGCACAATGAGCTTGGCGATCATGGGATCGTAGAAAATCGACACTTCATCACCTTCGATGATGCCGGTGTCCACACGGACGTCTTTGGATCTGCTTGGCAAGCGAAGATGCTGCAACTTGCCGCTTCCAGGAAGGAAATCACTATACACCACAGTAAACAAGTTAGCACACAGTCACAGAGCAGAGATTTACAATCTTTTCACGTACTTGTAAGGGTTTTCAGCGTAGATGCGTGCTTCAACTGCATGGCCGTGAATTTTCAGGTCTTCCTGACGGATCGGGAGTTCTTGACCTGCTGCAACTTTGAGCTGCAGCTCAACCAAATCTTGCTTAGTGATCATTTCGGTGACAGGATGTTCCACTTGGAGACGCGTGTTCATCTCCATGAAGTAAAAGGACTCGTCCTCGTCCAAGAGGAACTCCACCGTTCCAGCGCCAACGTAGCCCACAGCCTTCGCAGCGGCCACAGCTGCATCCCCCATCTTCTTGCGCAATGCCTCCGACATGTTCGGCGCAGGTGCTTCTTCCAAGACTTTTTGATGACGTCTTTGGACGCTGCAGTCGCGCTCGAACAGATGAATGACATTGCCGTGTTTGTCTCCGAAGATCTGGAGCTCCACGTGTCTGGGCTTCCTCAAATACTTCTCGATGAGCACTCGACCGTCTCCAAAAGAAGCCTGTCCTTCCCTCACACAGGCGTCCAGAGCGTCTTGGAAATCCTTCTCTTCATCGACAATCCTCATGCCTTTTCCTCCACCTCCCAGCACTGCCTTAATGAGAACGGGATATCCGATCTTCTTGGCTTCTCTCTGCAGCGTCTCGAAGCTCTGATCTGCACCGTGATAACCGGGAGTCACTGGAACGCCGGCCTTGATCATAATATCCTTGGACGCGCTCTTCGAGCCCATATCTTCAATAGCCTTAACAGGAGGACCAATAAACTCGACACCTGCCTCTTCACAGGCGCGAGCGAACGCCGCGTTTTCCGACAGGAAGCCGTAGCCTGGATGCACCGCCTCGACTCCGGATTCGCGACAGATCTCCAGGATTTTGGGGTAGTTCAAGTAGCTCTCGGCGGCAGGCGCAGGACCCAGTCGGTATGCTTCCGTTGCGAGCTTGACATGCTGCGAGTTGGCGTCGGCGTCGCTGTAAACAGCCACAGTCTCGATGTTAAGTTTCTGCGCCGAACGTAGCACACGCAGCGCGATCTCGCCGCGGTTGGCCACGAGGATCTTGCGGAAGCTGCGCGGCGTCGAGGACAGCGCACGTCGAGACGTGGGGCCGAGCAGAGCGGGCTGGAGGAGGCGTAGACGCAGCATGGCGAGCACTTGGGGGCAAGACGGATACCTGCGGAATGACACACTTGAAGACTGCTTACAGCCGGTTGAAGTAGGTGTATACATATTTTCAGCCAATCCAAGACCGTAAACCTTGTTGAAGTCAGTAAACACGATGTTTGGTTGGTCTAAATTGTTTTTTTTTTTACAATTTGTATGTTCACCACTTGGCCGTGTAGGTGGCAAGAAGCGCCTGGTTGACTGTCGGACATGAGATGTCGGCGGCGTGCAGCAGCTCAGCCGAGAGCGTGGAATCGAACACTTTGTCGCTCTGGAAGTAGATCTCGAACGAGTCGATACCCGCCGCCAGTTTCTGCAGCTCCAGCGAGGCGTCGGGCTTACTCGCAGCTTCATGAAGACTGCGCTTCCACTCTGCGTACTCGACTGCTGTCAATTGCTTGCTCGCCATCGCAGCCGTGAAGAAGTCAAAGAACGCGTCGCTCTTGACTGGTAGCGACGGGTTCTGGATGTGCAGCGTCTGTCCCAGCGCCTCAACTGGATGCAACGCAGCGAAGTGCACGATGGCGCGAGCTGCGTAGTCCACGGGGGTCATGTCAAAGTACCAGTCGGAGCGAGCGGGTACAGCGCACAGACCCGCGCAGCCCTTAAGCAGTAGATAGATGAAGTCACTGGGGTTCCACTGACCGGTGACCGAGGACGGAGCCATGTTACCTGGCCGCAGAATCGACACGGGAAGACCACGATGAGCTGCTTCGTGACACATTTGCTCGGACACCCACTTGCTCTGAGCGTAGCCATTCTCCAATTGATCGGACAGTTCACTCAAATCCGCAGTCTCCAGGTATTTAGCTGCACTTAGTGTGGACGGGAAGACTCCGTTCGTTGAAATGTAGTGCACAGGCTTCACTCGAGTCTTGGCCAGTCCGTTCGTCACAGCTAGACGCAGCACTTCCTGTGTACCCAGCACATTGACGCTCTTGAGAGCAGAGTAGGGCTTGACCAAGTTGACGTCTGCACCATTGTGGAGAATAGCGTCGATCTCAGTAGCCAACATCTTGAACATGTCCGCATCCAGACCCAGAAGCGGCTGCGCGAGGTTGCCCGGCACGGGAATCACTCGGTCTTCCAGGTGGAATTTCTGCGCTTCATCGAGCAGTGCGAACTGTTTAAGTGCATTTTTAATGCGGTCCATGGCCGCGTCTTCATCCGCTGCACGAACCAAACAGAACACGACGCTCGTTGAGTATTTGAGCAGAGCATGCAGCAGATGAGCACCTAGGAAACCCGTCGCACCAGTCAAGAACAAGTTGCGTGGAGGCAGACTCACCATCTCAACACGGTAACGACTGTACCCAGCCTTACGCGTAGCAGCCGGGTAGATGGATGCGTCCAGCACGGCTTCTAGCGGAAGCACCACCTTCTTCACTGTCTTCTCAGCCTCCGTCTTGGTATCACTTTCTTGTGTACCACCAAGTGATTGGTCGATTCGTGACGCAATAGCACACAACTCGGGCGACGAGAGAATGTCAGCCAGCGTCAAGTGAACGCCGAACGTATCGCGAATACTTGACACCAGTCGAGTCGAAAGCAAACTGTGTCCGCCCACGTCAAAGAAGCTGGCTTCACGGTGCAAGACGCTGTCGTTCTCGAGACGTAGCAGCTCCGACCAGATGGACGCGAGCTTCTTCTCGGTCTCAGTCTGAGGCAGGTTCGCTGGGTCCACCGACAAGTCGATCGACTCGTTGCGCAGCTTCTTGGCTTCTTCAATCGACGGCATTTTCTTGCGGTCCAACTTGCCACTTGCACTGTTGATCGGGAGAGCATCAAGTTGCACAAAGACCGACGGGATCGCGTAGTGCGGCAGCTTCTCCTTAAGGAATTCGCGAAGGTTTGACGCGCTTGGCACCTTTTCCCAGTCTTCCGGCACAATGTAGGCAACCAACCGCTTGTCTTCGCCTTCATCACCTTCCGTAAGCACCACTGAAGTGGATACCAATGGATGTTGAGCCAAAGCGGATTCCACAGCACCCAGCACCACACTGTATCCACGAATCTTCACCATAAAGTCGCAGCGACCAATGAGTTCGAGATGGCCATTCGGTAAGAAGCGTGCACGATCACCCGTCCTGTACACGGTCTCTCCGGGTACCACGTGCTTGAGGAAGCGTTGTGCTGTCTGTTCTGGGCGGTTGAGGTACCCGATAGCCAGACAGGGTCCTCCAATGTACAGCTCTCCGGGGACGCCGATAGATACGGGTTTAAAGTCGTCGTCCAGCACGTAAGCCTTCACATTCGGCATGACTTCACCGCAAGAGGCGTACTTAGTCGACAACGAGTTGTCAAAGTCGCTCATTGCAGCCAGATCCACTGCACTCACATCATGGCACTCAGAAACGCTGTATAGATTTTGCAGTTCGCACTTGGGAAACAGACGAACAAAACGGTCGCGTAGTTCCAGCGTCACCACTTCACCACAGAGCCAAACTAGTCGCAACTTGGAGAGCTTCAACAGTAGTTCGTCGTTCGAGCAGGTGTCCAATATTAACTGCAACAACGAAGGCGTGAAGAGGACGCGTGTGATACTGTGAGTAGCCAGGTAGTCTATAAGCTTGGCAGGGTCGTAGATTGTGCTGTCAGGGATGACGTACAGCGGTCGATTGCCGAGCATTGGACGCAGCAGTTCCCATACAAAAAAGACGTGACAAGCCACTCGATCGTTTTCTTTGTATGGGCAGTGGGTGAGACGCCAGTCGTAAGAATGCACGGCGCCACGGTGAGGGCAGCAGATTCCCTTTGGGACGCCTGTGGTTCCTGAAGACATGACCACATAGGCCAGATCGTCTGGATGCGTTTGCGTGCGGTCTGCTGGCATCGATGGGATGTTCTGCTGAGCTAAAGACTCGAGCCAGCCTTCGTCCAGCTCCAGCGCTTGCTGCCAGGCTGGCAAACGGTTTCGGAACTTCTTCTTAGTCAGTATAATGGTCGGTTTGGATTCTTCCATGACGCGCTTAAGAAGATCCGGTGGATACACGATCTCTAGTGGCATGTAGGCTCCGCCAGCCTTCAGTGCTGCAATATAGGCGATCACGAACTCGATGCAATGCTCCATAAAGATGCCAGAGATGCAGTTAGGACGCACACCAGCTTGATACAGATAATCAGCGAGGTGCTCGCTCTGCTCGTCCACTTGACGGAAGGTCAGTGTTTTGCCCTCATAGTAGATCGCAACTGCATCAGGAGTCCGCTTCGCTGCCTCGTAGAACATATCGTGTAAGCATTTCTCAGACGGGTATGGTGCGTACTTCGAGTTCAACCCGTCGATCAACGTGCGTGACTCCGCCACGACAATGACAGACACCCTCTCCAACTTGGTAATGAATGCCTTAGTGACAGCCTCTTGACTCTCGGCACTTGTGAGGTAGAAGTGTCCGCCTGTGAACAGCTTGACTTCGAACTCGCTGCTTTCAGTGCATACTTCCTTCCACTTGGGCAAAGAATCCGCCGGGGCAGTGGTATCTTCCGATCCACCGAACACGGTCACGTCGGAGCGAATCTTCACCCCATCCTGCTGCGTGAACCATTGCACAAGACCATTATGCAGTCCCAGATCGCCACGTAGCGCCGTCAGTAGTTTCTGCTTTTGCTCCGGAATCTCCAGCAGTTGCTTGTCCGTGCCACCCCATTGTTCCAGCAACTTAAGCAGCTCCGCATCTTGCTGCAACACATTCGGATCGTACAGCGTCCAATTGCCGGGCCCTGCAGCCCCCGAGAAGAAAACATGTCGGGGCGTTGAGAACTTGAGCTGTTCTAGGTAGTGCGTCAATGCCAGCGCCACCAACGCGCCGAGGCTGTGACCCACAAGCACAAAGGGTTTGCCGAAGAATCCACTACTTAGCTGCGTGCAGATAGCGGCAACCAGCTCGAGGGAGCGGGCGGTGGCGTCCTCCACGACGTCCTCCGCTGTCCACGTCCAGTCCACGCCCCACAACTCCACGTTGAGGCCAGCAGCGCGGAAACTCTTACCCCACTCAAGCGCCAGTGTACGCGAGGCGCCACCGGCGTGGGGAAGCACCAGCACGCGCAGAGGCGCCACCTCCGCCTCTTGGAAACATGTTGTGGTCACTTGCGGCGCCATCACGAGCGTTCTTAAGCCTCTTGAGCTTCGTCTACTTGGCTGACGATGAGGAAATGGACGGACTGCGCGGCAGCGAAGTGCGATGGATTCATTCAACTTCGAAATGCATATTATATCAGATATGACAGGGAATGTATCCACAAAAAAACGTGTTTAAAAACTGGAACACGCGGCAAGCACAGATCCAACATGAATGTATACTTTCACTAGTCGACGGACAGGCATTGCTGCATGCAAGAGGGATAACGTCTTGGAGGGCTTGACGAATGACACGCCAGCAAAATGATGTATATTGGCACACTCGACGGATCTATTCTCGGTTGGTGATCGCTATTTTCAACAAGGTCACTGCGACTTTTACATTTGCACCGGCAGAGGAATGCTGAAAGAAGAGACGGTAAGTTTTAGTGCTGGCAGCTCAGCTGTCGCGGCGGTGGTCGAGTGGTATAGGTACTGACATGCGCGTGGACGCACATTAGCAGCCGCAGGACGTGGCGTATTCCGACGACGAGGTTGGCTCGGAACATGCGTACGGAGGTGGTGACGACGAGTTCGTCGATGAAGATAAAGAACAAGTAGCCGTCAAACAGGATAGCCCTGATACAGAGGACGCAGACCAGTATGATGTTGAATTTGACAATGATGACCGGACCGAACCAGGTACCGGCTCACAGACATTAGCGACCGACAATACTCCGCTTGATCAAATGCCGGCAAAAGCAGACACAGCAGGAGATGATCCGCAGGAAAATGGAGACGCATACGATGGAGAGTTTGACGAGGAAGACCACCCTTCAGTTGCTACAGATTCACCGCCATTTGAGACTGCCGAAACTCTTGTCGAAGATATACCAACCGATGCGGACCCAATTTTGATCGACGACGAAGATTACGGTGGAGAATTTGATAATGATGATCCAGTCGTACCTGATGCTACACCACCAGCAGCAGTTCATTACGACACTACCATGGATCGAACTCCAACAGCTGAAGATTTAAAAACTATGGAGTCGCAGGATAACAAAGAAAATGGAGAAGTGCTATTGGACCCGGAAAAGCCCAACGGCCACGATCAAACTGAGATCGAAGATAGTGAAGCGGAATACTCGAATGATTTGGAAAATGATGCGCCTCCACATGTAGAGCTACCGAAGAATGCTGTCAGTACTCCCAGTGAAGGCAACACAACACAGCTGAACGACCGAGACAGCCACATCACCGTGGAGAGCGGCGATGGAGCAAACCTGGATAAAGCCGACCGCGTCAAAAGCAGACGTAGTTCCGCAACATTAGGCTCTAGCACCCCTACGAATGAGTCAACTCGAAACCTGAACAACAAGTTTGAGTCGAATTCAACCCCGAATAACGATGATAACTATACTGACGAGATGGAAGATGAATTTCATACTGGATCCAACATCCCTGAAATCGATGCAGAGGATAAGTTCGACGATGAAATACATGCATGCGCTTATGACATTGACGAATTAAAAGACGACGGGAGACGCGAGACTGAGATGTTACTCCAAGAAGCCAGTGCATTGCTCGAGTTGCAGCAATACGAGAGTAATAACAACAAACTACCTTTGCAACCGCAGGAGATTATATCATCTGACATGATGATTCAACAGGGGAATAATGCAGGCGAAATTCCGGGGGAACTAGACACATATATAGGGGAAAACAACGAGAATATGGCTGAAAATCATGCATCTCCTTATGATGCTGACGAGTTTGTCGATGCTGACGCCGACGCAGAGACTACAAAACAAGAAACTCTACAACAGGAAAGATCAGAAGATGGTGAAATTGAACAATACGAATTAGATGTGGATGAATTCGAGGACCAGGAAGCGACAATTCCACGTCATGACGACCTACAGGAGCCCGTAGAGGCTGGCAATTCAGAGAAAGCTACTAGTACACATGATACTTTACCACAAAGCGCGGACACGATTGATTCGCAGCCCAACAGTGAGACGGCCGAGAAAAGTGTAAACAAAACGAAAGATGAAGCGGTAATCGTGTCACCGATCGAAGCAGCTCCAGGACCTGCAAACTTTCTATCTGTCGATTCTCCCGTAAAACCGATTACAATAAACAGGATGAGAAGGAGCCTTCTAACGCGAAAGAATCACCAAAGCTGAGTCAGAAGAAAGTAGCCTCTCGACCAGCTCGACCTCAGCAACCTGTCCAGAGTGAAGAGCCCCCTGCAAAGCAACCATCTCCTCCAATTAAACCATTACGTCCATCTACAAAGAAAGAAACAACAGCATCTACTACATCGACTATTGATACCAAGCCTACTTCAACTCCCCGGTCTTCTCGCCGTAAGCCGAAAACAGCTACTTCATCACCAGTTTGCGTCAGTTCAGAGATAGAAAGCCACTCCCACGAGTCAACAACGCCGCATCCACCAAAGCTGAAGGTGTCATCTCCACGATACCCATCAAAGGCATGCTCAGATCCAAGCCATACTTTGTCCAATGATGATTTACAGTTGCCTCGAAAGGATCCCTTGCCTAAGCAGAAAGCGAGCTCAAAGCCTTCTACCAGTGGAGATCATATAGTTAAGCGTCGTTTACTGCAGCCGGTTCGGACACCAGCGAACCTCCATTTTGACCTCCCAAGGATGGACAAGGCAAAACGTGACTGGCTTTTCGCCAACATGTTTCGTCACGGAGACGACCTAAGCAAGTACGAAGCGTTTGTGCCTCCAACTTTGCTGGTGAAGCCCCCAACAACGAAAGAGACAAAGAAGCGGCCACTTTCTGGAAGTCCATACTCGTCTAGATTCGAGTTGCCCGGTCGGAAACTCGTCCCGCAACCGAACCCACAGCTGCAGGATCGAGAGCGCAACTGGGTGGCAACTACACCTCACGACTCGAAGCTGCCGACGTATGACTCCATCCTAGACAAATACTGCACGAGAGTCACATGCCCCGAGGTCCAGCGCCAGATCTACCAGACCAGGCAGCGAGATTTGTCACCACAGTTGGCATTTGTTCTCGAGAAGCGGGTGGAGAAGCACTACCGGAAAGGATTTTACGACTCTTTTGGCGGAGTCGGCTCGTACAGGACCGAAATTGTGCCAACACCCCCAAGCGATGGCACGCGGCAACGGTATATGTCTTCGCACTCTTCATCCAGGTCGGGGTTGTTGGAAGGGCATGCAATGCAATAAATTTTGCTGCATTATTATTATTACATTATCCTATTCACATGCAATATGTGGTCCACATGTAGTATGCAGGTCTAGAGATTTTCTCGTCTCCACGATTATCCTGTATACT